TCCCACAGAGGAATAGTATCTGGGTTACACCAAGCCCCCCAATAGCAAGTCTAAGAAACCCATTTATGTAAACTTTTGGGGTCCCACATACTGATATATCTCGATTGTGTCGCTCCATTCTTAGGATTGCCATCAATGTTAGTCTTAGGAACCACAGAGATAGACTGAGACGAGGCATAGGTATGAGACATAGCAAGTGACACACGAAGCATAGATCCTGTCTTTTGGGAGAGGGCAGAGGGGTCAGTTGTCTCATTAGCTGGCAAGTTGACTGAGTCAGGACCATTGCTTTTCCGATTGCAATCCTCGTCGGAAAATCCATAGAGGCCGCTGTCCTCTTTCTCTAGCCTATGCCTCCAGTGGTTTTGTTCAAAAACTCCAGTAACTCCTCTACTCACTTTTGGTTTAAAGAGGAAGGTGGACCTTTTCGAAATCGGCAGAGCTCACATTCCATCATCATATTTCAAACCATCCATCTCCAATCTTGGATTGGGATTCAAAAGGCAGCCTCTGGAGCAGTGGCGAATCCAGGAAATTTCCTTCCAGGGGTCAACGTCTAAAGGTTAAAAAAAATTATACAAAATATACCCATACAAATGAAACGATAATATTATAATTCATAATTAATAGAAAAAACCACATTACAATTGTCCACGACGAATTTTCATATTCTGAAAGCGTAGCATTATAATTTCATTATCAAAGAATTTGTTCTATTTTTCCTATAGTGTAAACACGGTAATCATCACGCCCAAGTATTTGTTAGGAAATCTGTTTCCTCTTAATGGTATAATCATGTCCAACCTGTTAATCAAACAGGAACTAAAGTCTAGCAATTGTCCCCGCACAAAACGTTTTTCTAGTAGTTAACTAACCAATTTAACAATTTTTAAAAGGTGAAAAAAAATAAAATAAAACTACCCATTTCCAAACCTGCAAAAATGAAAACACCTCATGTTTGTTACATTTGCGTTGTTGTCAGCAGCTAATTAACTTCCTCTTTCTCTCCCGCATATATATTTACCGTCACCAACTCCATTAATTACATGCAAAAACTCAAAGAACACGATTAATCAAAATCCAATATACTATCACAATGCAAATAATGAACCACAAAGCTTGTACTCAACATGTTGCCGTCTTAGTCTTTCCGGCCTCCCATCCCGGCATTCTTCTCCACTTTATCCGTATAATCTCAGCCATGGCCCCTGACGTGAAGTTCTCATTCTTGAGCTTTGCTGTTGAACTGGGTGAAGGTTGGTTTAGTTGGGGGGTTGGGGATTTAGGGTTGAGAAGTTGAGAAGTGAAATGAGTTAAAACTCATTTGGGGGGTGGGAATTATTGGGCAACAACAGAGCAGCAAATGCTGCCTTTTTTTTTCTTCTTCTTTTTTAAAAATAAACCTGTGCCAAAACGACGTCGTTTTAGCAAGATTTAAAAAACAAAACTTAAGTGCAACGACGTCGTTTTGACGTCCAGCTTATAAAAAAAAAGACTCGCGCGCGCTGTGCGCAAGGCTGCGCTGCGCAAAAGCTCCAGCAGCACACAGGTTGCCCTTTTGGGGCATTTCGTCGAACACCTTGCGAGGGTCAAGTTTGGCTGCTTTAATGGAGGATTTCAGAGGTTGCAGGGGTCAATTGACCACCCTTGCTCCTCTGTGGATCCGCCCCTGCTCTGGAGTGTCCCAATCTACCACATCTCATGCAAAAGTCTTTTAAGCCTTCATAACTCAGCCGAATTTTCCTTCGCACCTTAACTTGACAAGGCATAGATAAACTCGGGGGAAGAGGTTTTGATGCATCAATGTCAATGCGCATTCTTAAAAATCCTCTAAAACCCACTTCTTCAATGACTTCAACTTCCAAACACACAGCCAATCCATTCGCCCAATTTTTTTGCATTTCCCAACGAGCACAAACTTCTTGGGAGACACAAAATAAAACTTGTAAGACATAATATTATTGTTCAATTTAAGTAAGTGAGTTCTACTAAACAATGGATAAGACATTTGTCCAATTTAATTTGGTGAATCCTAGTACATATCGAACAAGACCGTACAAGACCGTAGTCCAATTTAATTAAAATATTCCAATTCAATTCGAGCCACCATAGATTCAGATCTCACTACCTGGATAGTAGTTAATGTATGGTGTCTATGCAGCGTTAATATTGTTCGGTCGTTACACATATTTTGACCTTAAATTCAGCAAATTCCATCACCGTATGACCACTGTCCATTTCCCCTTTTATAGTAAGCTCTTCATTCCAGTCCAAACTCCAAAGCGGACAAAATGATTTCCGGGGTCTGCATCATGGATGTACAAAAGCAAAAGATGATTGAAACCACCCTGGACACTTTTGACCTCAGAAAAAAGCATTTCTCAAATTATTTACTCTTTTGCCTATGGAGTTGTTACTAAAAACCTCTAGGGCTCGTTTGGTATACAGGACTGTTTTGGCATGAACTATGCTTAGGGACTGTCTTAGCTTGGCTTGGCTTGGTCTAAGTTGGATAACACTTATCCTGCGTTTGGTGTACGCTTGGACTAGGACTATATATATATTTTTTTTCAAAACTATCTATGTATATGTATATATAATATATGTATAAATACATGTATATATGTATATCATGAATAATATAAACATATTTATATATATATATGTACACATACATGTATATACATGTATATATATTATAAAATACATATATATATATATATGTATTATACCCATGTATATATGTATATTATATATGTATAATATATATATACATACATTATACATATATAATATATGTGTATATAGGTGTATATATGTATATTATAATATATACATGGGTATAATACATACATATATACATATGTTTATATTATTTATAATATACATATATACATGTATATACGCATACATGTCACATATATTATAAAATACATATGTACACATACATAATACATGTATTTATATATATATATATACATATACATAGATAGTTTTGAAAAATAAAATAAAAAATCTAGTCCTAGTCCAAGCGTAGGCCGTGTGAATTCATAAGCATCCTTAGCAGAGAGGTTTCTAGAGGAGAATGGCACCTAAACTAACAAATTACATACAACAGAATCTTGAAAAGAAGAAAATAGCCATAATATTATCGCAAATACTTTGAAAATGAAGAGTTAGTGATATAGGACACGGGTGAATTGAGTATTTGAGTAATTTAGCGGAAGCAAAAACAATGTAAAACAGAAAATAGAACAAAAGGGATAGGTCTGGAATCACTCCAGGGGTTTGGCTTCACACCAAGTAGTGTTTTGGCTTCACACCAAGGAGTCTCCAATCTCTGGAAAATAAGCTTTTCTTATATCTCAACAACAACTCCATAATGAATTACATAGACGGGGTATTTATAATAATCTATCAGCAACATGAGGGATGATCTCCATCTTTGACATGACAATATTTAAGGTAATTAGCAATCTCATCTAAGACTAAGATTAGATAAAACAAACATGGTACTAAATTTAGTCCAATCCTGTGTACCAAACGAGCCCCTAGAGTGCTGATCTCGAGCTCTAAAAATCGACTACTCAAAGCATTGTCATGTGTACGAGTTAGGAATAGGATTGCAATTTACAAATACTGAACCCAATTTTGTAGTAAGGGTTTATAGCTCAAATAGTTAAAAGTATTTATTCATGCACCTGGGGTTTTTGATTCGATTCCTTCTCTTCAATATCATATGTATTAAAAAATAAAAAATAATAATAAAAAGAGAAGAAAAAAAAAAACCCAGTTTTGTAAAGTAGGTTGGAGCTATCCGAGTGACACAGATGAACAATGCCAACAATTTAAAACTGAATTGGAGGACCAAAATAAAACTATAGTATAAGTTAAGAAATCATTAGAATTAAAAACCCCCAACCTTTAATTGTCCCCAACTGATAATTGGATATTGGGTTTAAAATGACTTTCCTCCTTACATATATATATTTTTCCTAAAATTCATTGAACATTGATATTAACAGAGGATTTAATAGTAATCAAATGGGGGCAAATCCCAAATCCAACATCTCCAATCATCATGTCTTTTTCTCTATGCAGCAGCTTTTAGGTTCTGGATATAACACCACCCACAAATGAATCATGATGCCATCCATTGGCAAATTATTTATCAACAGTCTGGATAATAAAAGTATGCCCCTCTCTCTCTCTCTCTCTCTCTCTCTCTCTCTCTCTCTAAACAGACATACAAATTTTTTTTAGGGAAAAAAGAGAGAGATATATATATACAATTAAAATTAGGATTCAGTTGAGGACTTTCTTTGAAAAAATAAAATACCAATTGCATAGTAGTATTATGAGCTCCAACTATAGTAATTAATAATAGCTAAAGTAATTATGAGCTCCAACTATAGTAATTAATAACATGTAAAGTAATTAATAATTTATTAATATCAAAAGGTTTTTGGTAGGGTTGAGTGATAACATATATATTAACCTGCAAACATGAGGCATGCTAGAAGAGGTATGCTTTGATCCTCTATGATTCATGTGTCACAAAGGCAGGCCAGGCATGTTTAAACATATTAATGCTCTAACTATCCTCCATGCTAACAATCATAGATATTAGCAAGTAACCATGATGACTGACCAGCGTTTAGGTAGATAGATACTTTTCTATTCTATGCCCCAGAAAGCAAGGGTATTTAATTTTTTTTATTTTAAATAAGCGATAGTTTAAATTAATCTAATCTATTGGGAAGGAAACTCGAACTTGGATAAAATACGGTGAGTTGACTGCCCTAACCAATTGCGCTAACCAGCGTCTGCTAAGAAATCAAGGAGAGTTTGATAAAAGTAGTTTGCTCAAAAGTTATCAAGGGCACTTTGGTAATTGCAACAAAAAGCAACAATGACTTTGCCTTTGAATTTTGAAACTCTCTCTCTCTCTCTTGCTCTGTTTTATTCTCTCTCTGAAAATGAAGAGGAATCGCGCATGCCAAGTGCCAAAGAAAAAGAGGGGGGGTTGGGTTGTAAATTGTAATAAATAAAGAATGGAGAAAAAGAAAAGAAGCACATTGCCAACCCCATCCCCATCTTTGAGTCAGAAGTTGCAGCAAAAGGCTCCTCATTCCTCTCAACCCAAATGAAACTTCCTCCTCTTTCTTCACCTCTCTTCTCATCCTACTCATACTTCACCTGGATTTGTTCATGCAAGATCCAAAGAAGTCACAAGCAAGGTATGCAAAACTAACACACACACACACTCTCTCTCTCTTTCTCTCTCTCTCTCTCTCTCTCCCTCTCTCTGTTCAATTATATATATATATATGGATATATCCCATCATTCTATATACTTGCATATATGGAACAATTCAATATTGAGTTCAGAATATATATATATATATATTTGGTGGGTTAAATTGCTCCTTTTATTTATATCAACCGGCCGCTAAGTTTGAGATTATTACAGCCAGCTAAAATTATGTTGTGACAGGCTTTCCTGTAAGTTTGAGATCATTGTCAAGCTTAAGAACACCTTCTCTTATGAAATTCTAGGCCCAGTGGATGATTTGCCTTGGACTTAGGCCTTGTTGGGTTTGGGCTGTACTAATTCAAACCCAATAACTTGCCAGGAGCCCACAGTGGTGTGGTGTTCAAAACAAAACCCCTTAAATATAATATGCTATATCTAACACAATCATCCTTTTTCGTCAATAAAAATGTAAAATATCTATTTTGTCATTAGGAGGTGTTTGGTTCGTTGAAATGAATTCATGGAAAACCAATTTCCATGTCTTTCTCTGTGGGGTCGAAAATGGAAAATTTATTTCCCATTTTGATATGTATTTATTTTATTTCACATGTTCAGTTTGTGAAGGTATTGTTATATCTCTAAATTGGAAATATGCAAAAAGAAACCGTTAAGGAGTATAACCGTAAGTAATGCTTCGATAGACTTCATACTATTAATTGTTAATGGTGTCAAATTGGTTATATAACAATGTAACTGGAGACGTGAATTAGACTAGTTGGCGAGAGTAGTAGGCATCCCCCTTACACCCAAGTTCGAATCTTCCTTCCCATAATAGTTTGAGTATATTGGTAATGCTCGACCAAAGCCAGGTAAATTCATAATGCCTAGAGAGTCTAAGATTTGACCTTTGAAATTTTAAGACTTTTACTTAGCCGTTGTACTTATCTGTTACGACAAATAAGTGACTCCTCTGGTTCAATTCGTTAAATCTATAAACGTATTAATACAATTAATGCTCGCTGAATATGTCAAAGATAAGTAGGTTTCAACTTTCAATCCAAACTTAGGAATTTCATCTTTGAAAAAAAACCCCAAACTTAGCAAATGGGCAGTTGTCTTCGACAACATTAGAATTAAATTGGGTATAAATTAAATTGAGTAGTCTTCAAGAGGAAATTAGAATCCAAGTTCCCCCAAACTTAGCAAATGGACAGTTGTCTTCGACAACATTAGAATTAAATTGGGTATAAATTAAATTGAGTAGTCTTCAAGAGGAAATTAGAATCCAAGTTCAACCAATCTTCTTCAAAATATGTACATCACATTGGCTCCATTTGTGCACAATTATTATCCTTGTGATTTCTTGATGCATGTAGAGAAGCAGAAGCAGAGCCATGACGTCATTAATGTTGACATGCACTTGTTTTTGCTTAGGAATAATAAGCCTTGGTATCAAAGAGCAAGAGAGATGGGCATGGGCAGTCTATGGAGAAGCATCAACAATAACAATTCAAAGTCCACACAAGTTCCAGCAGCAGCAGCTGCAGCAGCAAATTCAACGCTATGGAAAACCCTAGTCAATGCCAAAAGCAGTCCCGGCACAAACCCTAATAATTTTCCTGCACCAAATTCCAACTCCAATTCCAATTCCAATTCCAATAATGTTAGGCATAAACTGAGAAAATGTACCTCTCTAAAGGTTGCCACGTCATTTACAAGGGTGTGTCTTTGTGCACCAATATCTTCCTACAATGAGGTCTTTAGGGCTGAGCTTCCCCCAAGAAGAAGCAACAGCTACCCAAGAATGGGGTCCTATTCCAAGCCATTGGGCACAACAACTACTTCTAGTGCCGGCATTGCGCAAGCACGGCTTAGCACTGATCATCCAGGAATTAGAAGAGTGTTTCGGGGAAAGTCGCTGACTGACGACGTTTTGATGAGAAGGTTTGTGGTGGAAGAAGAAGCAATGATGCAGGTTAGAAGGAGAAATCAAATGGAAGTCATAAGGAGAAGAAGTGTGATGAGGAGGAAGAGGCTTGGGCCTAGTCCTCTTTGTAGAATGGCTTTGGCTGAGGAGGATTAATTAATTTTCAGCTTTTCCCTAAAATAATTTTCAGCTTTCCTCTCTCTGGTATATCTTTCCCAGAAAATTAAATATTTTTTTGATGGTGTAGCATTATTGGTTGGTGTACAAGTTTTATGGGAAATATTATGGTCTCTAAATTCTAAATGCTAACGAATGATTCAATTTTTGTTGTTGTATATAATTATATACATGCAACTGATCGACAGAAGGGTGGACTATTGCAATTTTTTGTACGAGACACATTCCATTTCAGAGTGTCATTTTTGGGTATTTTTTTCAAAACTGTAACTGAATGAAATATATTATGTGGGAATTTTGTTTTTAGAAAAGTTGACATAGATCCAAATTCGCATTGAGGAGTTGGGTTTGTAAGAAGGTTTATTGCCTTAATCCTACTGAAGTGATCTCCTAATCAATAAAGGATTGCAAGAACTTATTATTCATCAAGGACTCAAATTCTATCTCGTTTGGCAGCCTGCTATCAGTATTTAAAGTGGTTTGCAAAGGCTTAAGGATTCCTAATTCTATCAGGATTGAAATACATTAATTCTATAGCATGAAGGATATCTCTAAGTGTTCCTTGATGGGCAAGGACACTTAGAGAGATGCACATATAAATAGAAGGCTCCCTCCTAGAACCGATATACCCAAGCTAATCAGAAATTCACCCCATCTAGAATTAAAGCTATAAGGATCGGTTTCTAAAGGAGAAGAGCTTCTAACCTCTCTGCACAATTGGATCTGCACCAGCATCATGTCGGATACAGGTTAGTGTTCAATTTGATATGACTTTCAGAACTTACATGTGGTATCAGAGCATAGTTATATCATGTTCTACCTAACAAATTCAGTGCAGGAAAATTAAAAGAAAATAAACTGACAGTTATTTAAGTTATAAAGCATGAACATGATAACAGTATAAAGTATGAACTTTATCATGTTCTTGACAGTTTTTCAGATCTATGCTTACAGTTCTTGTGTAGTAATTGAGCAAGCCAAAGCGGCTCAATTTTTGCATAATCACTGTATTCAAAGTTTATGATCTAAAAATTTGCATCATGATACAAAACATATTGAAAGGCTTTCTGTCCAAAGATGTAAGCAGTTTGATATGTTTTTATCATGGTGGAACGACATGGGATGTGGATAGATATGGATTAGTGAGAGATCTTCTTCTGTCTAAAGATGTGGAAGTTTTTTTTGCTCAGGAAATTCACATCTATTTATATTTCAGTGTCGATAAACGTACTTAATTTACTGTCCAAAGATGTGAATTGAGTGTGTTTGATTAAAGTTTTTGGGGAAAGATGTTTATAAAGGGTTTTCTTGTTTTAAAAACATGTACAGTCGAGGACTTAATATTGATGTCCTGCATCCATTATATCTTAGCAAAATTGGACCTACATCTAAGAAGTCCTTTTGTTTTTCACATTAATTAAGTATAATTATTTATGCACTTGTAGATTAGATAATCCATAATTGATTAACTGCTTTCTATGACGAGTCTCTTCACTGTAGAAAACAGTTAATAAAACACACATATTTATGCCGCAAAATATCTTAATTGGTTAAGAGTTTTTACCTCTATATCAAATCATTCATTCTCTTCAAATATCGTTTAAAAATAGTAACATAAATTTACTCTCTATTATTAACTTCCACCTACTTGACAGTTGGAACATAGACAAAGGTTATAGAAACCCCAGCTGATAGCTAACTTACGGCCACATCAAAGAAAATCATTGGTTTGCTTATAAGCCACTCTAAAACAAATATATATATATAAAAACTTACAAAGCAAGGATAGTGGTTATCTAATCTGTATCTCACTTATGCCTTTTTCAGGCGAGTTAGGTTGTTCTAGGACACTACTAATGTCAACTCCATACAAACGTAATATGATCCATCACTTATTTTTTCCTCATCTTCGCCAACCACCATATACTTTTAATTATCCACTTCAATTTTCTCTTCTGTAATCATGTCATTAAAAGACTTTTTATTACACTCTATTTACATTCTGACGACGGTCACAATTTAATCTTGACCGTCAGATTTTATTTTTCTTGAAAAAGTAGAGATTGACTCAGGTATACATGTGTAGCACCTCTTTTTGTAATTGTTTTTAACTATAACTCAAGCTTGACTGTATCACCACCATGTTAAAAAGGAAACCAGCTTATGAAAAATTGACTTAAAATATATATGCACTATCCTCCATATCTTTATTTACATTCTTATTAGGCTTCAACAAATTTTTCAGTTGACTTGTGCCCAATTTGATATAATTCTCTTATTTATATATTAAGACATAAGTACTTTCATTGATTAGTCTGTCGACACACGCGTCAATAGGTTTTTCTTAATTTTATTTTTATGTGTATAAATATTTTTTAATTATGTTATTCTTACATATATATATATAAATTTTTTAGACACGAAGTCTTATTATTATTATCTTTTCAATTATTATATTTTAATTTTTCTTTTAACGTATTTGTCTCTTTAAAACGAAGTAGATGTGTTTTAACATGATTTGTTAAATAAGAGCAGTTTTGAGTTATTTGATGAATAAGCAATTGTGGTTCGATTGCAGCTTAACTATTTCACCCTTTTACTGATGAAAAGTCAGCGCACCAAACATTAGCTGAAGTGGCTGGCCTCGCCTCATTCATTCATGGCATCTTGACACTTTATGCTTCACCATCTCAGGTTTGTTGAACAATATAGTTGTCCTAGGTAACCAAATTAATTTATACAGTTAGAATATTTCTTTCGGCTGTTTATTATTTAATTCAGTGGAACAAACTCTCTTGATCTTTTCGTTTTGTAGCCACTGTTAAGAAGGGGATGTGGGAAACTTACACACACGGGTGCTATGGAGACTTGAACTTAGAATCACACTTACGAGCACATCAAAGACCTGTGTCAACCCAACTAACAACATATTGACTTGTGTTTTCATGTTTCATGTATTTTGAGAAGAATTAAAAATACTACGGAATAATTATTGCTTTCTCTAACTTATTATACACAAGAAAACAGAACAAAGCTTTAATCTAATAAAATGTTTGTGACTTGTATTTAACTACAAAGTTTTGAAACACAATCATGTCCGCCCAACTGGAAGGCTGAGATCACATGGCCTATAAAGTGTTGTTGGGACCACATCCACCAATGTCCTATTATTGTTCTTTATCTTTTACCTCATTCACAATGCTAGCAAGTGGCCACCGTGCTTCTCTGCTAACGCTATTGCTTTGTACACTTCAAATTTAAAAATTTTGTTTTCTTTTAATTAAGGAAGGCGTGGCATAAGAAGGGGTGCCACAAGTTCACAGCCGTCAAACTTGAAATTGCTTAAAACATTTGCTTTCTATAATTTTCTACTTTGCGTTTTGAGTTTAATTAAGACCAGGCCAAATAATGGAATTTAGGGAATAAATAAAAATAAAGAAATGAATTATGCTGCAGATGCACTTGCTAAATTGGAGTTATAACTTAGCTTTGGGAAGTTGCATCCTCGATGAGACCTCTACCTAGGAATCGCTAGATCTCGTTCAATTTCTGTTGTTTAACTTTGTTTGTTGTTTGGGGCGTTTAACCCCATCTATCACCAAAAAGAAAAAAAAAATTACGTTTAGAAAATTTATTTGGTGTAATTCGTTCACGTGTTATAAAATATGAAATATTTTTACTCACCACTCTTCCTAACACTTGACATGTGTTCGTAGGAATAACTGTAGTTAACTTTTTATTTTGTATTTATTATACCATGGTTATGCATATGAACACGTGTCAAGTGTCGAGAAGGATGATAAGAATACACTTTGAGTTAAAGTGGTGAGCAAAAATACTCTCTATAAAATAAAGTATATATTTATCAAATACTAGTATATCTTAAATTATATCAAGTGGCTATATTCTAGTACCACACCGTAATTTTTTTTTTTAAAAAAAACAATGATTAGTTGGATAAACATTGTCTTGCAATCCAAAATTGCAGCGCGGTTTGAACAGTGTAGAGCTCCTTAACATGGGTTTCCAAATCGCACCTCTAGAGCTACTTCTAACTTACTAACTTCTTCAGATTCAACCAACCCAATTCCTTCTAATATTAGACATTGCATGATATGCGGGCAGGTTACTAGTCTTTCTAATTTCGACTTGGTAAATAATTGGCAGATGCACATATGAGCAACTGGGTTCTGTCTCCACCAAACAAAATATTCCCCATTAATTTGGCTTAACAGCTCAGTTTATTCATTAATGCTTTCTTTAAGGCGAGGCTAAGGTTCTCGATTTGATGTTTCAAGGAGTTTCAGATAGGCAGATTTACCATGGTAGAAAAAAACATGTGTAATGATGGATAACTCAAAGCCACATTCTAGCAAAATACATGCATATTGTACACCAAAGTAAAAAAAAGAAAAGAAAGTATATATACATATTGGGAACTGTAATTTTTTTTAAGTGATTCTTAAATATGATACAAATAACATTAATTTTAAATTAAAAAAATAAGTGGGGGGATTTCTACAAATGCTATGAAGTGGAAGATGATAAATATATAATTAATTAAGGCCAAAAACTAAAATAAGAAGATAAAAACAGAGTACCAAACTCAAGTACCCAAACGTGTAATAAGTGGGGAGATAGCAGCTGCACAAATAGTCTTCCCATTCAAGTAAAGTTGGTTGAAGTTGGCCACATTGAGTGAGAAAGTAGCTAACCTCTCTCTGTCTCTCTGTCTGTCTCTCTCTCTCTTCATCATCATGACCAAGAAACATAGCAAAAGAAAATTATAAATCCCACAAAAGGAGAAAGGTGGGAAAGAAGGAAAAGTAAATTCTTACAAGCAAGAACCGGATTCAAAGTTGTAGAGTGAGAAACAAAGGAAACAGAGAAAGAAGGTCATAAACAACAATTTTATGTAAAAAGCTATGTGGAAAAGAAGCATGTGGTATAACAAAGGAGAGGGAGGCTAGAGCCAAATAGAAAGAGAAGCCCTTCTCTCATCCTGATTGCTCTTTCCTTTTGCTGTAGCAGCTTTTTCTAGGGTCTTTGGAAGCTGGGTTGGTCTTATAAGGTACAAATTAAATTATCTCAGTTTATTATCAGTTTAATTATCTTTATTTATTCAACTTTTTGGGTTTCTGTTAAATGTCTCGGAGATATAAATGATTCTGAATTTTGAGGAATTTAATTTTAAGAACGAAAATAAATGGAAGCTTCTTCCTCTCGTGGAGCTAAAAAAAGCCTTACTGTCAGAGCAGTTGTCCTGTTCTTCTGAGGTAATTTTCCTATGAATTCTTTGTTCTTGGGATCCCTCTTGAGTTCTTGTTTGTCAGATGTTGTTTCTTTGAGAATTATTGTCTTGTCTCGATACTGTTATCTTGTAGCTCCTCTCTCTCCGGTCTCTGTGTGTGTGCCTGAAAAAAATAAAAAATAAAAAATATATATTCTAGGTCTTCTTTGGTTTGTGTTTTGGTCATCTTGTTTTTTTTTGGGGTGAATTTTGGTATCTTTTTTTCTTTCTTCAGTATTATATCCCTACAAATGTGGCGATGAACTGATTAAATACACAATAATGATCTTTCGTGCGTGTTTAACCATACAACTCTACTTTGTTCTCATATTTTTATTTGGAGATTAAATACGCTCGTATATTATTTTAAACCGGGAAACTGAGAGGCCTTTTGGAAGCACCAAACTCAGGCCTGCCTTCTTATTCTAATGTCTACACAAGGATGTAATCTTCTTTTGCTTTGGGAGTTAGCAATCTGAGATAGAGAGTGTTGCCGATCGATCTAGCAAGGTTCATCTTTTAATATTTTTTCATTTTAAGTTGATGAATGTTATGGAGACGAACTGATGGTTGATTTCGATTATTATTGATGTCTTAATTATTAATTTGCGGGGACATTAAGCATAAACAAAACAACCACAGAGAAAGAAATGTATATGAAAATAAGAGAGATGGTTTGTGTGACACATGTGTTCAATTCTTTTTTAAGTTAAGCATGTTTTTTTGGTACGTGGGAAAATGCTACTTGCAAGCACCTGCAAATCCTGAATTGCTCTTTCATTTCCCTTTCAGGTAGAAACAGTAATGCTAGGAACATGGGAAAGAAAGGGAGTTGGTTTTCTGCCATAAAGAGGGTTTTTTCACCGCATTCCAAGGAGAAGGTAGTCAATGTAAGACAATAGTGGCTTAGTTTTTCTGTTTCCAATGGAGTTTTGTTGAATTATTTCACAATTTGTTTGGACTTCTCAAATAAGCAGATGATTCAAAGGTTAACCTGTTGTTTTAATTGTGATCTATATGGAACTATTTTTCCCAAAATTTAAACTTTTATGTACCCCACACTAGATTCCACTACTGGCTTAAATGAAGGTGTGGTGTTTTCGTATAAACTATGATGGTTTGTCGTATATGGTGATTAAGAATCATATAACAATCATAAATTCATACTAAAGAACCTCTGCCTAGTTTTACAATCGTATGTTCAGTTCAGTTTATCTTATGTCAGAAAAAAAAAGAAATTTCAATATTATGGGAGTGGTATGCATTTTACTTAAATTTCTGCACTGCATAGTTAGTTTTTGTTGGAGCACAAAGGTTCAATTTGCTATTAAAAACATGCAAAACACTTGCTAGTTCAAACTAATTCTCATTATTAATCATATTGCAGGGTTCAGAGAAGAAAAACACAAAAGAAAAGAAGGGGCTTGGGAAACTAAAGCATGGAGAGACCAATTCATTCATTCCCCTGTTCAGGGAACCAAGCAGCATTGAGAAAATTTTTGGGGATTTTGAAAGGGAGCAACAAAGAGTAAATTTTAGGCCTCCTACCCCCGATGAGCAACCAAAGACACCGCCTTTTGTGCCTCCTAGAGTTGCTTCTCCCAGGGATCCTTCCCCAAGGGTTGGCTCACCAAGGGCTGCTTCTCCAAGGGCTGCTTCTCCAAGGGCTCCTTCTCCAAGAGCTCCTTCCCCAAGAGCGCCATCTCCTAGGATTCTTCATCATCATAAGGAGATTAGATACAGACCTGAACCAACTCTAAGGAACCACCATGCTTCAGCTACTAAAATCCAAGCAGCTTATAGAGGTTATATGGTAAGCTCATACTTCCCATTGTTAGCATTCAAGGGTGGGGGAATGTCTAGAGATGTGCAACGACAAGACTGGAAAATGAGAGAGTAGAATTCAATACAGGAAAATAGAATTCAATGCAAATATATGCCTTATCATCTGAAATGCAAAATGTCGAGTTTCAGAAAATTTGTTAGGTAAAAGCAGTAGATTTTCCAGTTTTCACAAAACGCAGCCGTCGGTATAATATAAGGTCCTGTCTAGAATCTCGTGTTTCGTTTGCTGACTGTTATCATGCAGTCGCAAATTTTATGTGCATAGTTATTCTTTAGAAGCACAATAACAGTTCAAAGTAATTGGTGTGCAAAAGGGTATGCAGGGGTAGGCATTTGTCTGGTATGTTTCTTTTTGTCTATCTTACAGAATGATAATTTATTCCAAATGTGCATCATCTTACAGTAGAGTTGCATTTTATAACTCTAGAGGCAGAGTCCACGGGATAAAGATATAATATTAGTAGGATTCTGAATTACTGAACTAGAGTTCATTCAAAAGGAGTTCTTCAAAAGGCTTTGATACCACGCAAAGTTATAGTAAGCAAGCTTTGACCCAAAAAAACAAAATTCTTAAGCAAGCTTAATAGAATAGAACTACATCTAGGTCAAGTCTAGGTTTCGGTAACTACAAGTTAGGAACTGTGTGGGGCCCTGTTTAATGAACATACTCTATATTTATGAAAAAACTGCAACCGAGACGAGATAATGTGGTACTTGTTGTACAGGCAAGGAGAAGCTTTAGAGCTCTAAAGGGTCTAGTGAGGCTTCAAGGAGTGGTGAGAGGACAAAATGTGAAGCGCCAGACATTGAATGCCATGAAATACATGCAACTCTTGGTGCGGGTTCAGTCTCAAATTCAGTCACGCAGGATCCAGATGTTAGAAAATCAAGCAAAACATCAAGGTCAATACAAGAATGATAAGGAAGTGGAAAGCACCTTTGGCAAATGGACCTTGAGCCAGGCAGTAAGTTCCCATTTATCTGTTTGTGATTCCATTCCTATCTGTTTTAGGATTCACCATTTGACCCCAAGATAGGAGACATAGCATTTATTCAAACGTTTAGTTATGCTGTTTGAAAATTAGTTACTATACAGATCCATTATGGGTTTCCTTCTTGATGTAGTTTGGTTGTTCCAAAAGTTTAAGCTGTTAGCTAGGTATAAAGGGGCCTAAAAATATATATCAAGAGGATCATGTAATGATACACAGACACACACCCACACATTAACACTTCCTCTTTTGTGGGTATAGCCACTAATTTGTGACAAATGTGGACCTTACCCATGTACTTAGAACATAGAATACAAAATACAAGCTGTTATCACAAAGAACAATAGCTAAGTTCCTGTAAGAGTTTATGGGGAATGAGCCAAACATGTGTATCAAGCTGAGCACAGCGCAATGCACATTGATATAGCTCTCAGTTCAAAGAAAACTCTTCTTTGTGTTTATATTTCGAGAAAAGATCAAGCCAGCTCATTGGTGACTCTGTTGATTGTTATAGGCCTCTTGAATCTTCTATGACTTGTTATTTGTGTTATTCTATTTAATGAGTTTGGGGTCTCTGAAGCCTGCAATGGTGAATTCTATTTCAGTACGTTCTGACTTTCATGAATTGTGCTAGACAACAATTGTTTCCGAAAGCTTAACCTATTAGGGAAAGGGGAAATGTATATCAACCTTACACCCTCTCTCACATCCCTGATACCATGTTAGACAGTCACCGGCCCCAAAATCTAAAGCTGTTAGGGAATGGGCCAACAGTGTATATTAATCTCACATTATGAACCAATATTACTTCTTTAGTCTGCATTAGTTCTCTAGATAGATAAGTGAAATCGCCTTTTGAACTATGACACATTTGGACCCACATCATTCTAACTTTCTGAAGTGGAAAAGAAGACTACGACCTTTTCTACTAAAGAAAACAGAGGAAAAATACTCTTTGCTGTTATGTCTGTCAATTAATTATGACATATCTATAAAATTAAGTAATAATCCTAACAACTACTATAAAAATAAGTAATCCTAACAATTGGATGCACCGTGATGTAGTCTGAGACAGGCAATAATGATGAATGGGATGATAGTTTGCTAACTAAGGAGGAAGTGGAGGCAAGGTTGCAGAAGAAGGTTGAGGCAGTCGTTAAAAGAGAAAGAGCAATGGCCTATGCATACTCCCACCAGGTATTCTTTCTCCACTAGTAATTCATGAGCTGTCCATCTTCACTTTGTGTTCAGATAGAAAAGAGAAATCTTCATTTTTATGTTAAAATTTCAATTTTCTATCGTATCAAATTTCAAGTACGAATCTGATAACTATGATCTTTGGTGTAAAATGTTAGACTTAAGAAAACTAACAGATGCAATATTAATAACGACATAGGTAGAAATTTTGAGTATACAAAAATACTCTTGACAATGTTAGAAAACTTTCACCTTTGAAGTACGTAACTTACCATATTTATTATTATGATCAAGATTTCCCTATTGAACAAGGTTGAACCCGCCGCCTAAAAGTATTTTAATGGTTATGCAATTTGTTCCTTGCAAATGATGGTATATAGTATATACTAGAATGAGAAGCAGATTATTGCAATTGATGGTTTTCTTATTTCTTGATGATGCTTTGTACCTGTGTGCGCCAAAAACAGCTGTTGAAAGCTACTCCTAAATCAGGCCAAACACCTGTAGCTGATATCCGGTCTGGGGGATTCCCATGGTGGTGGAACTGGTTGGAACGTCAGCTCCCCCCAAAAGACCCTCCTACAGAAACCAATGCATTGAAGAACTTTCAACTGACTCCTCCGAGATCACATTCAGAAC